AAACATCGGCCAGTCCATACCGAACCTGCCGCTGGATCTCATCTCTTTGTAGTTGTTAAACATAATCTAGCACGTTTAACCGATTACTTGCCTTTATCTTCTATATTGTATAAAATGATTAGGCTTTCTACTTTTATAATTAATATATTAAAATTATAGCTTACTGATTATTATATTCAGCAAAAGAGACGGCTATTTGGTATTTCACAATGCATTTGCTGTGATAATCTTTATTGTGAACATATAGCCTGACATTAAGCAAATATTGCCAAAACCACACTGTGAGCCTATTGTTTAATATTTTTCAATGAAAATTAAAGGATGAAGTTATTTGTTGTAAATTGGCATACGGTAAAAATGACGGTCATGTAAATATGTACATGATGCCTTACCATTTTTGATGTCTGTTATGTTTCAGTTGTTATTATAAATATAAAAATTCTGCCTGCCTGCCTGCCTGCCTGCCTGCCTGCCTATCTATCTATCTATCTATCTATCTATCTATCTATCTATCTATCTATCTATCTATCTATCTATCTATCTATCTATCTATCTATCTATCTATCTATCTATCTATCTATCTATCTATCTATCTATCTATCTATCTATCTATCTATCTATCTATCTATCTATCTATCTATCTATCTATCTATCTATCTATCTATCTATCTATCTATCTATCTATCTATCTATCTATCTATCTATCTATCTATCTATCTATCTATCTATCTATCTATCTATCTACCAAGGATATTTGAAGATATTTGAACAAGAATGCCATATAGCTACAGCTGTCAATCTGTCTTTCTGTCTGTTTGTCTGTCTTTCCCTCCGTCTATCTATCTAGTTTGTCTATCTATCTATCTAGTTTGTCTATCTATCTATCTATCTATCTATCTATCTATCTATCTATCTATCTATCTATCTATCTATCTATCTATCTATCTATCTACCAAGGATATTTGAAGATATTTGAACAAGAATGCCATATAGCTACAGCTACAGCTGTCAATCTGTCTTTCTGTCTGTTTGTCTGTCTTTCCCTCCGTCTATCTATCTAGTTTGTCTATCTATCTATCTATCTATCTATCTATCTATCTATCTATCTATCTATCTATCTATCTATCTATCTATCTATCTATCTATCTATCTATCTATCTATCTTTCTATCTATCTATCTATCTATCTATCTACCAAGGATATTTGAAGATATTTGAACAAGAATGCCATATAGCTACAGCTGCTAAATATACATTTTCACATGAAAACAAAGAACTTGTGAAGTGCAAACAGTTTCTGAATTACTATATAACACTTTATGTCAATTAAAATACTTGATTACAATCTTACACACAGCATTTCATTTAGGGGAATGACATGAATTGTGGTCTCTCTTTAGAAAATATAGCTAATTTGATAGTTTTACAGCTTCGAGTAATTAAACATCTGAGGTCTTAAGCATCTTATTTTCTCTTTGTGTTTAAATTAAATGTTGGATAATAATAATAATAATAATGGGGCTTTGTATAGCTAGCAGAAGGTAATTATTTTATTCATCTATCCTTTCTTTCACCTGTAATACGTGTTTGTCTCTTATAAAAATTTAAAGAGATAGTGCTTTTTGTCATGTTTTCTTTTTATTGTTAGGATAGTGAAACGTAGCCAGGGTGAATGACGTTATAAAAGTACACTGCCATTACATTTGAAGATTTACCCACCGTGTCTTCACGTCCTCAGGAGTTTGTTATAAACTTGTAAAGTCTGAACTTAAAAGAAAAGGATGCAAGTCTGTACTTGATATTGAGAAAAAACCCCAATCAGGTAGCGTGAATGTCGGCAGCCATGCCTCTGTTTTCAGATGTCTCTGTTTTCCCCATCCACACTGATACAAAGTGTTTTAACACAAAGTGTGTAAGCATTTGCAAAACACTCTGTTTTTGTGGCTCGAAAACTCCAGGGCAGTGTGGACGGAAGGAGTTTTTTTTTAAAAATGCATTCGTGTAAACATGGCCTTAGTGTTTTACTTCATTTTAAAACAGTCATCAACTAATCACTCTGTACTTATTATTAAAGATTGCTTTTTATTAATACTATATTATGTCATTAAACTTGAGCTAAATTCGAATAGATTGTTCATTGTTTCTTTGGTGACATACATACAAACTTCTTTGGATTGTCAACTGCATTTAAAGGGGACTTATTAGATATCTTGCTTTTTTTGCTGTAAAGTCTCCGGCATTATAAGAATGTCAGCTCAAAATACCTCACATATTATTTATTATACCATATGCACATTTTTGAGAAGAAGCAAAAATATATGACTTTACATCACATGTTTTGAATACTCTCATGTGACAGTGCAGTTTGTCATTATGAAAGTTTGTCCGTATGCATTTTATGGCATTGCCAGTTTTAATTCATGATGTACTACTGAAGCACACAATGAAAGATGCTGTTAGATTGCTCATGATGAGGGAATATTAAAGTCCTCTTTAGCATCTAATTGCACATTAACGATCAAATACTGGGTTAAATAAAAAACGAAAATTGCATGAAGTTGGCTATGTATGCAAATGTACACATCAGAGAAAGTCCAAGACAAGTAGATTTATTTTTGATGGGAAGTAAAAGAATATTATGTTTTTTTTTATTTTGACTAATATTTTCTTGCTGTATTTTTTGTTGAACAAAGTAATCACAGTGGAAAATGTAGCACTTCACAAGTCAAGTAGGTTTATTGCCATTCCGCTACATGTGTGAACATACAGTGTAACGAAACGTCATGTCTTGCAGGACCACAGTGCTACATAAATAAACAGTCATAAATATGAAATAAACACTGCACAAAAAAGCTATTTTAAACATATACATAACTAACATACCAGAGCGGTAATTTAACTATACTAACTATTCTGTACATATACTATAAATACTTACTTTACTATAAATACTATACACCTAACCTAAAGTTTTTGCGAAAAACACGTATTTTTAGGTTGAAGAAAACAAGAAGTGCAACATGATTGTGTGGCACATTCATTGTTTTCTTTATTTAGTCCTTGTAAGATGGAGTTTAACTAGTGTCCAATGCATATGGAGAAAAGTGGGTTTTTATACCAATACCACTTGTACTGGTAATGATTCTCCGAGACATACATAATGCCAGTCATTAGCTGAATTAATTAATGAAACATAAGAAGGTTGAAAAGAAAATACTGTAATGGTCAGCAATTATTATATAATGAAAAAAATAGCAGCATTTGATCATATTTTTGCTCACATTTTATAGCAGTTTCAATGTCCACATTTTAGAAGTAAAGCTTATTAAACTTTGCAATTGGGCTGCAATATATTGGACAAAAACTAACATTGTGATGTTTAATTTGTCTGCGATATATTTTGCAATATGAATATAATTTCACAAGATGATCTATAACTCTATTTGGAATGAATTCATCATTTTACATTGATTGGGATATTTTGTACAAAATATACGCATAAAAGACAATTTCAGTGGAATACAGTATTGAGGTACAGATATTCAATAATAATAAAAATAATAATAATATATAAAATAACACTTTATAATGTATTGTCTTTATTGTATAAGTAAATACAAATAATTTTGCTTTATATACCCCTTTTATAACCTCTTGGCTTTAATTTGCTTAAATCTTACACAGTCACAGGTCTTAAAAACACATTCATCTTTCACTCTATTTTAGAATTAAACCTTACAACAATCACAGCTTGAAATTGCTCATCCTGCGATGTGACTATTGCAGATTCACACATTGCGATATCGAAAGTGAAACGATATATTGTGCAGCCCTACTTTGTAAGACTCGTAAGATTGTTTGTTTTGGGCTTGTTTTTATTTGTTTAAACTGTTTGAAATGCTATATTTTACACAATTTAATACTGATGGATGCAAATAGCTGAATAATTACGTGAAGGTTACATAACCAAGTTACCAAACCTGTAAACACTGTTGCTTCCTGATGGGAAGTGCATTGTTGGGACGCAATTAATTTTGATGCACTATAGTTTGACAGATATTACGTCAAAAAACTGTTAAAGTAGAAAACTGTAAAAGATGTAGTGTAAATTAGGGTTAAATCATTTGATGTAAAAATAAAAATGTGCATAACACAGAAATACTTTTTGTATCCCAAGAGCTAAGAAAGTGTGTTTTTATATGTGTCCAGGCCTGTAGAATGACATCAGCCATTAGTTAGCATAAGAAAGAGGGAAAGTTCAGAGATATGAGTCAGAACCTAATGACAACTCCACCTAAACTAAAAGCATTGAGGTAAAGTTGGTTTTATATTCACACATTCAGACTTTCTCCTTAATAATAAAATATAAAAAGTATTATTTACAAATTGTAAAGAATGAAATCACTTTAGCAGTCAGTGACAATTCAAGTGCTTCACTGTTTAAAGTCAATCAAATAGTTCTGATGTTGTTTTGAAGTCATATTACATTTGATTTCCGACCGATTATTCAAAGTACCATGGTAAACAATATAGGGAGTGTGTTACACTGAACGAATGTGCAAATATAAAACCAACTTTACCACAGTCCCAAAAGCCTCACCAAAAAAATATTCGTACATGTACAGGCGTCAACACAAACTTTCATCTGGCAGATCCACGGCTTTATGAATATTTTTAATACAGACACAATAACCTGCGAGACAGCAGCCCAGCCGTGATGGCAAACTAAGCACCACGCGCACACGCACTGACTGCTGTATCAAGCTCTTATCTTCAAAACAAGGACATTTCTCAAAAGTCGCGTTAGAAACACTAAATCGCTTAAAATTAGAGCAAATATAAACTCTACGGGGTCAAAAACATAACGTCACTTTAAAAACATCCAATGTGAAATGTTCAGTACATGGATGCTAATAGGCTAACCAGTAAAAAGAAACGCCTAATTAAACAACCAAACTTTAAAAACACTACATGTGTGTAAAAAATGAGGATTAAACTTACACAACAGATCTTGATATCATCCAGGACACCATATTTTCCGCAGGATAGATCCGAGCAGAGAAAGATTCTAGCTAAGCTAACCTTATTTACAACTTCAGTGTCCAACTTCAAACGAGGACAAACACTAACCGTCTCCCGATACCCTCCGTTCGCTCATTAATCGATGTTAGACAAAAACATCTCGTTTGAAACTAACTACGGAGACAAAGGGAGTTTAAACTAATGACACTGTTGTTGTGCCCATCTTCTACGTGCTCTCGCCCAAAACCGATGCCGTTTCTGTAAAAGGTGCGCTTTCAGGTTGACGTCAGAAATAATTTGATTTAAGGACCCGATATTCCTGCTATGGGATTGGCTAGTGGGATTTG